TTTGCAATACAGCTAATAGGAGACAACATGCAAACCACTATGCACATATATTACATATATATGTATATATAACATATAATATGACTTTTTATGACAAATTGGAGATAATCTTAGAAGGAAGACACTAGCATTAAGAAAGACAAGGAAAGCCTTCTTGAAGAAGGTTGGACTTTTAGCTGAGATTAGAAGGAAGCAAGAGAAGCCAGAAAGTGGAAATAAGGAAGGAAAGAATTCTAGGTATGGGAATAGCCAGTGAAAATACAGGAAATCCAGAGATAGAGTGTCTTGTGCAAGAAATAGCAAGGGGGTCAGTGCTACTGGATCTCAGAGTATGTGGGGTGAGCAAGATATGAGATTAGAAAGGTAGAAGGGGCCAGGTTTAAAGGGCTTTAAAAGTCATAATATTTTATATTTGATGCTGAAGGTAATTAAAAAAAACTACTAAAGTTCATTGAATAGGAAGGTGACATGGTCAGACCTGCACTTTAAGAAAAGCTGTTTGATAGCTGAGTGGAGAATGGACTGGAGTGGAGAGAGATGATGTAGAGAAATCAACTTGAAAGTTATTATAATAGTCTAGGCAGGAGGTGATGAGAAGTATAAGTATCAGAAGTGAGAAGGGGGCATATACGAGATGTTACTAAGGCAGAATTGGAAGGATTAGCAAGAAATTAGGTAGCAGTTAGGGTGAGAAAGAGTGAAGAGATGAGGATGACATCTACGTTGTGATCCTATGTAACTGAGATGGTGGTGCCCTAAATAGTAATGGAGAAGTTAGGAAGATAATGAATTCAGTTTTGGACAAGTTGAATTCGAATGAATGAATGAAGTATTTATCAAGTACCTACTGTGTGCAAAATGGAGGCAGCTGGGTGGCTCAGTGGATAGAACACTGGACCTAGAGTCAGGAAGACCTCGGTTCAAATCTAGCCTGACACTTACTAATGACCCTGGGCAAGTCATTTAACCTCTGTTTTCCTTAATCCACTGGAGAAGAAAATGGCCCCACCCACCCTCATTGAAAAGACAAGCATCTTGATACAGGTTATAGATGTGTAGTCATGCAAAACACTTCTATAGTAGTCCTGTTGTGAAAAACTAAGTATATTTCCCTTCAAAGTATCTTACCCCCCATTTATTTTATTCTCTCTTTTGACCCTGTTCTTCCTCAGAAGTGTTTGCTTTTGATTGTCCCCTTCCCCAATCTGCCCTCCCCTCTATCAACCCCCTGCTCTCTTGTCCCCTTCCCACCTTATTTTCCTCTAGTATTTTCCTCCAGTATTTTTGCCAAGAAAACCCCATGGACACCATTGGCATTCTGTGGTCCACAGGGTCATGAAGAGTCAGACATAACTGAAGGACTGAACAACAAAGATGTACAAAGCACTGTGCTGAGTAATGGGGTTAGACATACAAAAATCAGATGGTTCTGCCTCCTCTCAAGGTTGCATTCTAATGGATTGAATGAATTTAAGATTTTAAAAAAGTACAAATGTAATTTAAAAATTTAACCTACTTTGTCCCAAATGAATAGAAACAATGGATGAGTTCAGAAAAGTCATGGGATATAACATCAAGCCACAAATTGCATTCTTATTTACTAGTAACAAAACCAAGAAAATCTAACAAAAAATACCATTTACAATAACAAAAAAAATCAGGTATTTGGGAATTAACTTACCTAAAAACACATAGGAGGTTTAGAAAGTCAACTCTAAGATTATGACAGTTGAAATTAAGAAGAACCTAAAGAACTAGAGGGACATTCAATATTTTGGAGTTTTGTGAGATTCAAATATTATAATGTGTTGCCCTAATATTTCTCAAATTAACTTATACATTTGATATGATACCAATAAAAATTCAAACATACACTTTTTTTGTAGGACTAGACAAAATCCTAAAGAAATTTAGATGGAAACATGTGAATGTTGAGTCAAATTGAAAAAAAAATAGATGATGAAAGGAATTTTGTACTTCCAAACTTCAAAATGTATCTCAAAGTGGCTATTATCAAAACTGTTTGGAATTAAACCCAAAAGAGAGAAGTAGCGCAATAGAACAGGAGGGACATCTAATACCCAGCTAAAAGACTAATTTTGATGAACCTTTAGGTGAAAAAGAGTATAGGCTACGAATTCTTGAAATGACTCCATTGGAAAGCTATGCTTAAGGGGAACTTCATGAAGACTTGATATAGAGACAAGGAATTTGAAGGTCAGGAATTTGAAGATAATCTTTTGCCATTCATGTTCCCTATTGTATTTTAAGATACAACCCTATGAGGCAAACACTAAAAATTGTCCCAAATTGATCAATGAAGAAACTCATGTTCTGATTCGCTTATGTTTGAAAGGCTAGTGTTCAAATCAAAGCTCAGACCCAGGTCTTCCTGTCTTGGGAGAAGATCCTAAGCCTGTCTTGTAGAGAAAGGTCCCACTGAGAAGAAAGATTCATTGCATCCTGAAATCTCTCTGTATGCCCCCATCAGTGCAGGCCCTGTTTGCTGACAATAGGAGTGTTCCAGACCAGCCAGTTGTCAGGAAGTGAGTTTGTTAGGAGCCTTGCATTCTGTCCAGCTGCAGCCGTATGATTCTGCACAACCACACCCCAACTTATTTCTGGAAATTGTCTCTGACATCTATTCATATACATTGCTATCTTTATACTTACCAGGATATGCCAAATAGAGACACAATATAATTCTTGCTCATACAAAAAAAAAGAAAAGAAAAGAAAAGAAAAGGAAAGAAAAGAAAAGAAAAGAAAAGAAAAAAAAAGAAAAGAAAAGAAAAGAAAAGAAAAGAAAAGAAAAGAAAAGAA